AGCACTGCAGGAACACCTCCCTGGATTTAGAGAAGCTTCCAGTTTGTTGGCTCTGATAGAAAGCCAAGTAAAAGACTCAGAGATTTTATTTAGCATATGCTAATCAAGTAACTTGAAAGTAAACAGAACAATGATCCAGTCTTACAAAGTTGTGAATAATTCGTGGTTGGATGGTTAAAATGATAAACTGGCATACTTTGATTACTAGTTTGGTTATTCCTAAAGACAGTTGATTTGACTGAGATTAAGTTTTATATGAATGTTTAGACTACTGCTGGTGGAAAGTCATGCTGAGACATCGAGGTGAATACAGAATCCGCTGTGGAGTCAGCCCAGCCCTGTTGCTTGAAATTGGTGGTTTTCTCTCAAATGAACACAACTTTGGTTTCCCTGACAGTGATTAGTAGTCCTCAACAAGTCCCTGAGCCCCAGCAGACTGGATTTAATCCTGCCTTGCCCCCCAGCCATGTCATCTTCCAGTTAGAGGCCCCCTTCTCAGCAGTCTTTACCTCTGCTGCTTCTCCCAGGCCCCACCTTAATAAACCAGCCAGCGTAAATGTCACTGGCTTCCACCTTCACGTCAAAGGTCACCGTCAATAGACCTGTGTGTGTGCATGTGTGTGTGTGTGTGAGAGAGAGATGAAGCCCTTACCGTGCGTCTATCAGATGCAAGTTTGCTCCGCTCCGCTCAGCCATGCCGCTCACACATGTCTGTCACACTCGTCGGGCTAATGAAGGCCACAGCCACTCTCATACATGTTGATGCATTCACCAGCAGCATCAGACATCGCTGCTTTTCACTTAATTTACGCCCACATTTACACTTCCAGCTCAGAAATTGGACGGGACATTGATTTTCTGTTGGACGGAGTGGGAGGATGTGGGTGGGTGTGTGTGTGTGGCTGGGGGGGGCCACACATATTTTTGCTTGATGTCAACTAAATCAACCATAAAAGGTAAATTGGATATATTTCTTTATTTATTTTATTGAAGGTTGGTACTTTCAGAACCAGAGTGGTTAGGGCAACTTCTGTTGTGTAATAAACTTTCCCTTTCTGCACAGTGACAGTGGGGAGGAGTACTCTGACAGTCTGAACGGGGGTTCCTCTGGGACAGAGCTTCACACACGGAAAGCTAATAGAAAGGTTGGTCCTTATTCATTCGTTTTTTTTTCTTTTAGCCATTTTTTTGTTTTTGTTTTGGTGCCTAGGGTTTCCAACCAGATTGAATCACTGGATTTATTTCCTGTCTTGCTTACATCCCCATTGAGGACATTTCTAATTAAAGTCCAATCAAAAAAAGGTTAAAAAGTGCCACAAGGTATTTTCGTTTATTGAGATTTTTTTTTTTTTTTAGTTTAAATTTTCAGACAAAAATAAAATCTGCTACTGTGATCTGTAAATGTTGGTTCAGTTTATCTAGTCTTTAAATGATTTATTTGGGTTCTCCCTGACCCTCTATGAGTAAATGAGATTAAAAAATAAACTGGACATTCAGCCTAGAGCTAAATCAGCAGGTAAAGATTAAGCAAAGCTTGGTCTCTGTCCTTTATTGCCTGTTAGCTTTAGATGCACCTGAACTTAACACTCTCTCCCTACATCTGCGCATGAACATAACGCTGTTTGCTTTGCTGAAGTTAAACAAGAAACGACTGGAATGAGAATCCATCTGATTTTATATGATCTGGATGTCTGCGTTATTCCTCCTCTCTGTGATGTAATTCCTATGAAAGGTCAACCAGAGGAACAAAAGTAGCTAGAGAGACTTTAGACAGGGTTCCCGCGGGTCCTTAAAAAGTCTTAAAAAGTCTTGAATTTAACTTGCCTTATGCTGTAGGAACCCTGTTTAGAGTACTTCTAATATTGGGATATAAGATCCATAAATAAAATGTCACCTGTGATTAAAGAGCTCCTTGTCTATGTAAAAAAATTTAATCCAATCCCTTTTGGAAATTTGGTAATACAAGTAACCCCTTATTTTATCACCCAGCAATAACTTTTTAATCAGGAACCTCAATTTAAATGGTAAACTGACTGAACTAAACCATTTCAAGCCAAAATCCCCCATCCTCAGTGCCAAACCCTTAACAAGCAAATCATTTTTCAACAACTTGAAGTTAATAAGTTAATTGTCTCTCCTAAGCACATTTATTAACAGGGCAGTTATGTCGGATTTAAACCCACAACCTCTCAGTGGGCAGATGAACAGTTCTCCTACTGATCCTCATTATTTAAATTAATGCAGATGGGAAACCTGAAGGATAGCAGCGTAAACGCAAATTTACTGTCAGAAGCTCGGCCGACTGCGTCACAGGACTACATGACACTAAACAAGCATGTGGCGACAGTAAACAGGGAGACTCAAAGTCTGTATTGTTGCTTTCCGAATAGATTCAGCCCTTCCAAGATGATGCTTAGTTTTAGAGCTCTTTATGATGTCTCTAGTTCACCCAGTTGTTAACACAATGTCAGGCTGATAGTAGTTAGCTGTATAGTAGCCACAGCTGCTCTGGGGCAGACTGACTTCAACGAGGCTGCCAGATGAAAGGCCAGGCCCTCTGACCGCCAGCAGCAGGTAAGGCGTCTTACCAAAAGACACAACTGACACGGACAGAACCGGTGACCAAATCCCACACCGCCTTTCCAAAAGGAGCAAAACTGTAATTCCCTGACATTTTTCCATCCCACCTAAACCTCTCATCTCTGTGATGACCTGCCAAACCTGCAGCAGCAGCTGGTCAGCTACCAGCACCTCATTCAGAGCAGATAACCGATCAATCCGGTGATCTGGAGGGTTTTTTATTAAACACACAAGGAGCAAATTGAAAAGTAGAGAAGAAGAAAGGTGCGCCGTCTGCAGTTCATTACCTTAGGAGCTGTCAGGACTCCTTTTCAGTTTTCTCTTTCCTGATGCCTTCGACAGGCCCATCAACACCTCCACCCTGATTGCTTCGACAGCCCAGGTCCCCACACAACACCCCGTGTCACTAACCAAAGAGTTCATTTCCCCACTCCTTCTCTGCACGTGTGATCAAACCTGGATTTGATTAAATCTTACCTGATGTTCGAAGGAGGAGGGGGGGACTCTTTGATGTCATTACAAACTGTTTTGCATTTGGGGGTGTCACACACACTCGCATACATATTTTTGCTTGCAAATGACTAAGCACTCATAGACTTCATACCGTAGGATGAATCAGAGCTCTCAGACAGTGATTGAACAAAGGCGGCTTCATCAAGCAGCTGTCAGAAGTCATTTCCACGCCCAGCGTCGGCTGCAGTAGGAGTTTGTTGAACATGTTCAGGTGAATTATTAAAGCGCAGCATGATTTGTCTTGTTGTGTTAAGCTGAGCACAGCCTGTGATCACAGCGTCACCATGATCCCATTTCAATGAGAGCAGCTTGTCAACTGTTGTGTCGTATTAAGCGGCGTTCTATCGCCACACGCACTGACTTTCATGTTCTTTTAGTCCCGCAGACGCTCACTGATCTTTGGCTCAGAAGCACCAGCGGCTGAATCCAGCAGAAGGCGAGGTATGGAAGGTTTTCTCACCCAAAGCAAACTAAAGGTTCCAGTGCCTAAAATATCTTTCCCACATGAGAACCACAGAACTTAAACATACTTTGTCATAACAAAAAATGTTTTATGTGATAAATTATTGAGTTATTTTGAATTAGGAAGGAAAGGCATCTGTTTTCACCCCCCTTGACTCTAATACCTCTGAATAAAATCCAGTCCAACCAGTGGATTTCCACCTGTGTTTAATTTCATCACAGCATAAACTGCTGTGAAGATCACAGACGTTTGTTTGAGAATATTATTGATATCCGCAGCTCAGGTGGGGAAAGTCCTTCAGCATTGGACGCCACGTGTTGCCTTTACTCAGGGTCACAGGGACAACAGCCACAAGAAGTTTATGTTTTCCCACAGGCCAGGGTAAAAAAAACAGGGAAAGGGAAGGTAGACTACAAACATCAGAAAAAATAGAAGGTCTTAAAATCTGTGGATTTGCCCTTAATATGAGCAGGTAAATACAATGAAAGGCAAATGTAATAAGACATTTTACCCTTAAAATAAGATAATTTGATATCATGCACTTGAAATAAGATAACGGGGTTGGGTTTTTTTTCTCGTTTTAAAGGTAAATATTCTTTTGCCAAATTGTCTTTCTTTCTCGATAACAGGGAAAGTGTACTCTATTCAAAGAGAAATGTCTTAGGTTTTGATTTGTTGCTGTGTAGATAGAGCTAAAGCCATTAGAAGCTGCAGATGAACTGAGAATGAGCTGGAGGTTCACTTTCCAGCTTTACAAAAACCTAAATGAAAGAAAGAGCTAAATAGTAGATGCTTAATAAAGTAAGGCTAATCCAGATTCATTCTCACACACTGAGGTTTAGCCACAGCTGACCAAAGCTAATAAAAAAAATATTTTTAAGGCCAATGCCATGAGTATTTTTATTTTATATAATATATAATTTTTTTTTAGATATTTTTTTTTAAGTATACATGTTTTTTTATAAACTGCCAGGATTACCATGAAGTCCTCAACAGCTGGCATGCTGTGTGGGGCTCAGGGACACTGGTCAGCCAGACTGGTAAGGGTCAACACCTGGTCTAAAACAGGCTGAACCAATCACAGCACAGGAGGCGGGCCCTTAATTCAACAGTGCTTTTCTGTAACCATAACAGTCAAGTCAGCAGCTGCAATGGAGCGACGTTTACTAATGCCCTTTATTATGTCCCACTAATATTGTTTATATGATGAACATTTCAACAAGTGGCTGCTGTAAGAGCTTTTCCTTTTAAAAAAGACGTTTTTGCCTAAAATCTATATTATTCTGATCGGTTCTAAACCGTTTCCACTGACTGTCTTAGGCTACGTTCACACCGCAGCTTAAAGTGACCCAAATCCGATTTTTTTTTTTTGCCCATATGCGACCTGGATCTAATCTTTTCATGACAGTCTGAACAACACAGATCCAAAAGGCTATGTGGTCCTGAATCCAATACAAATCTGGTCTTTTCAAATTCAACCTGTGTGTGAACAGCCAGGTCACATTCATCCAACCTGAATGTCATTAATACCCAACAGTGGTCACTCTTCTGCTTCTTGCTACGCAGAAGTGGCCAGAAAAACAACAATGGTGGACGATAATGCAAGAGCAGTATTAATGTTTAACCATCTTGGAAAGATTGAGGTTTTACGGTTGGGAAAGATCGCTAGATGGGCTCCAGCACTACCATCCATGTTTACTTCCATAAACACAGAGCACGCTTGCTTGTGACATCATCACCTCTACTGTGCATGCGGGACACTTAAGTTGTATGACTGCAGTTCACGCAGAAGATCACATACAAGTCGCATATATTATGGAAATGTGAACAGCAACTCAAAAAATGTGGATTTCTCAAAAAAATCGGAATTGAGCATGAAGGCCTGAAGTGTGAACGTAGCCTTAGTCCCCCTATGAGCTCAGGCTCTACCACAGGAAGTAACAGACCAGTAACCCACCTCCTGATCCACTGCTGCACAAGATCCCATCTACTGAGGGGGAGCTAAAATCAAAGCATTTTCATTTGTTAGATTGGCCCAGTCAAAGTCCTAAATTCGATTAAGATAATGAGACGGTGTTGAAAATGTGTCTATCCAGTCTTACAGGGCTTAAATGTTTCTCAAAAAATGAAACAGAAATTGTTCTCTAGATGTGCAAAGCTGCTACAAGGATAAACACTTGTAGCTGTGGTTGCACTGATCAGTCTTTTCTTTTAGTAAGTCAAAGAGGCTGAAACAATTTTTTTTATAGGAAACAAATGTTTCCCTTTTCTTTAATGCTTCTGTAGATCAGTGTTTTTCTCTCAACCCTTAAACTACCTCGTAATCAAAACTGTAAATCCTCCTAGTGGTTAAATATATCTCTGTTTTCACATGAGCATATACATTTCTACATGCGTAATTCCCCATTGGAACAGCTAAAAACAGATTTTGAGTTTTCCTGCAAACGTCACCTCTGAGGCAGCTGCATGTTCTTCCTCTTGTTATAGCTGATAAACAGCATGAGCCCTGGGAGCAAGGGACAGGAGGGGAGAAACGGAGGTGGAGAAAGAAGAGGATGTTGAGGAAGACACAACGCTGCTCCTCCTCTTCTCTGCAGCAGCGCATCGAGTCTCTCCAGCGCCACATAGACATCCTGAAAGGTGCCAGAAAAGATGCTCTCCTTGTAGCCCGAGAGCTGAGAGGGACCAATGAGGCGATCAAAGCGCAGCTCAGCACTCTGACTGATCAACTGAACAACAGCAAGCAGCTCACACAGGTAACTGAATTCAGTGAACTGGATTCAGTGTTTGAAATAATGTTTGAAAGTTTAGTCTCTGAACTGAAACTAGTCTTTTTTTGTGGCCTAACAACATTAAACTTAGTAAGCTGTGGTTTCTAAGTGGGGCTCAGACTGCCCTAAAACGGTGCTCTGGGTCACATGACTCATTCAGTGAAGGATCGGATGCTCTTAAGTTACATAAGCCAGTTTTTGAGAAGGTTTAAAGGATCCAACAGTTTCTAATACTTCAGGCTTTCAGAGAGTTTGCTGTAGAACTGATGAACATAGAAACTAAACTGACTTGTTTAGTTCTGGATCTGGGAACTCTGAGTAAACAGGTTCCATAATCACAGAGGTTGGCATTGCGATGTCTCTGCTTCAGCACACCTGGGTTTAAATTGTAATGTGAACTACTCAGGAGGCCATTAGGTGCTGCCCAAACCTTTTAACCACCCATTCATAAAAGCAAGGTGCAAAGGTAAGCAGAGTTGAAAATATTGCCAAACAGAACATCCACTAGCTTTAAAAATCTCTCTTTGAGGAAATGGATCCAATCCAGGCATTTAAAGTCGAAGCAAAGTGATATTTAAATGTCAGTTCCTTCTGGCGTAAACATGTATATAAATGTACTCTTTATCAGACCATATTGTCCCAAAATTTGGATAATTTTATTTATTTATTTTTTTTATTTGTCTTAGCATCTGTTGGGTTTTTTTCTTTCTCGTTGTCTTATGCAGGCTGGTTAGTTATACGTCAGCTTGTACACCTAAATTCTACCAATCATGCTTTCAGTCTATTTGTCACTTCTTGCTTCTAGCTAGCGATGTGCGCAAGAACGCAGGGACCCGTTTCCCACCTGGATCCCCGCTCTTTTTTGCCCTCATGTCCCTCTGCTGTTGCACAAACTATCCCCCACTTCCTCTCTGCCTCTGCCGTATCTAGACCCACAGCTAGTTCCTGAATTTCCCTCTTGCGTTATCGCGTGGAATAACATAGCATTCTTCAAAATTGAGCATATATCAAATATGTATGCGTCATATCTGCGACAAGCTCACTGCGACACACTGCTGCGGGAGTATAACCAGCCCTATAGTCTTGCAGCTGACTTTGTTGTTACTCAAGTATTGGTAAGCTTCCAAGCTTTAAGGTTGTTCTGGCATTGCTGTTTACTGCTACTCTAAAAAGTTACAAAACAAAACACTGGAATTTGTTTTCAAAGGCTGAAGATGTTTCGCTTCCCATCCAGGAAGCTTTTTAGTTCAAAATGTCTGGATTAGCGTTGAGTTCCAAGCTTTATAGAGTTGTCCAACAAAGTCTTGTTGTGTCTTAGAAAACATACAAATTGATCCGAAAGAACAGGTTCACCCCTTAGTAATGGGGAGTCATTGATTTCCTTGGTAGCCTGCAAAACCCAATACTGGCCTATGCCTCTGAAAAGGGAGTCGTTAGGGTCTTTGTTTTCCTGGCTGACCAGGCTAGATGTTTTGGTCCCCTGCATGGAAATGGGGATTGAGATGATAGTGAGAAGTCTATCGCTGCGTTGTAGGTTTTTGAGAGCTGAAATTTGAATCTACTGCTATGGAACACTGTACCAAAATATTCTTCTAGTTTTATCATTTGGCCATTTTGTTATATTTAACTCTAATTTTAACATCTATATAAAATGGCAGGGTTAGGAATTGATGAACCACCTACTTTTATGAGAAATAAATAACAATTTAGCCATTTCAGGCCCCATCCACACGAAGTCAAAACGAACATGAAACGCTAATATTTTCCAGAACGTTTCCAGAGACATAAAATAAATGTGATGGACCACACGAATGCATGAAAACGCTGCAAAATGTATGCCAGGCCTGTAAGGGTCGCTGTGGTGCCAAAGCAAAAATAGGCGAAAACAGGCAACGAAATGTTGGGCATGTGCAATAATATTTATACAACAACCAATAGGGAAAACTAGAAAATGGCCCTGCGGGTCCATTTTCGTGGCTCAGTCAAATCAAGGTGATGAACAATGTCGTCTATATTGCTCTGTTTTTACTGGAGATATTCCAGAAGAAGAAAATTCTGTTGTAAGCCCG